CCTGGTCTCGGCCACCACGCTCAGCTCTGATCCCTGTCTCTCTTCACCAACTGAACAGAGCAATCTTCCAAAAATGAGACCCGAGGTCTTGGCAAGATGCAACCCCGAGCTGGGGTAGACTAGATCTTATCGTGTTCCAGATGGCGGCCGCCAGACTGCGCAGGCAGAGGGTTTTGGTGGGCTTGGGGAGGATGACGGCACACACTGGAACTTTTTTTGCCTGCATGTATGTCTGTGCCCCATGTATGTTCCCGGTGCTTGAGAGGGCCAGAAGAGGGAACTGGAGTCACAGACAGTTGTGAGCTGCCATGTGAACCTGGAATGGAAGCCAGGTGCTCTGGAAGAGCAGCGGTGTTCAGTGCTGACACGGGTGTCACACATGAAGGATGCGTTCCCAGCTCCTGTGGCTGACCCCAGGGCCAGACTCCTGTAGCCCAGGCTGGTTCCCACCTGCTATGCAGCGGAGGCTGACTCGAACCCTGGCCCTCGCCCCTCTGCCACCTGAACACTGACTACAAGCGTGCTCATCGCGTCCCGCTTTATTTACCTATGTGCATTATGTCTCGTCCTTGCCACACATCTTCAAGGACTTTTGCGTTTTGTTTTGTTTTGTTTTGTTTTGCCACAAGCGAGGATGTCTCTGTGGGTTCCAAGGTAGGCAGTGAACCGATCAGCCTGAAGACAGGGCGAACTTAGTATTTTGAAAATATTCGGTATTAATTTCCACATACTATTTAACAGTACACCGATTTAATAGTCCTTAAACTAGCTTCACCTACAAGGAGAAGGGCTGAACTCTACACAAACTCCTGCAGACGGAAACGTGATCCTCTGGCCGCTCTAGGCTGCCTACCGCCAGCGGTTTAATTTACAGCGAGGGTTAGGGCTGGGGAGGCTGACGAGGAGCTGCCACCTGCTGGCCGAATGCGTTACGTCCCTCAGTCTACACCCCAAGACCGGTGAGGTCGGGTGCACGCAGGGCAAGCAGCCTCTTAGCGCAGGCCGAAGCTGGGCGGGACGAGGCTGTCCCGGGAAAGACGACGAGCAGAGCAGTGTGTGCCCTGGGACTGGGGTCGTGGTGGCGGTGGCGGGGTGGCCGGCTGAGGCGGACCGTGGAGTGGGTGCGGCAGCTCGGAGCTGCTCACACAGATGCAGGAACGCCCGACCCCAAACACGCGGCCGGGCCCCAGGTCGCCCGGCGATGGCGGAGGAGGGAAGGTTCACTTTCTGATTGGACCTCCCGAGGCCACGCCACGGTCCGTGATGCGCAGAGGCCACGCGTGGGTCTGCGGCCCCACTGCAGCCGGGGTCCGTGTTGGTGTCCAGGGCCCAGGTTAACGTCACAGGCCGCGCGGACGTCCTCGGTCCGTGCTGCAGTCCTGCGCCCCGCTGTCGCCAGGGGCCACACCCCCGGGGCCTTGTCTGGGTCCACCGCCCCGCTGCCGCGGGGAGCTGTGTTGGCCGCCGGTGCTGTTTCCAGAATCCACGAGGGCGCCCACGACGCCAGCTGCCGCCGACTGCACAGAGCAGGACGCTGCCTTGGCAGCGCCTCCGCCGTGCGCGGCTGCACCGTTGAGAAAGAGGGAGGTGGGAGGCTTCTCTGACAGCCCCTCCCTGCGCCCACCCCGCCAAAGTAACGGCCAAACAGGAAGCCGCGAGAGAACCCTCAGGAGGGCGAGAGAACCCTCAGGAGGGCGAGAGAACCCTCAGGAGCAGTGGCGAGCTGCGGCAGCTCTTCACCCTGACGGCTTCCTGCGTGTGGGTGGCCAAGGCCCTGCGTGGAGGAGAAGGTCCTGCGTGGAGGAGGCCCTGCGTGGTGGTGGTGGTGGAGGAGGAGGAGGCCCTGCGTGGAGGAGGAGGTCCTGCGTGGAGGAGGCCCTGCGTGGAGGAGGAGGAGGTCCTGTGTGGAGGAGGA